CCGATCACTAAATCACCGTCTTTGAATAAACCAGACATGGTGTCTTTTCCCATGATCCGGCAAGTCAGATCGCCGTCCACCTGAAAAGAGAAACAGAACATGAAAAAAAATATTAGAATCCGTGTATTCATTATGAAGTGCCTTGCCAAAGGATAAAAAAATTAATGAGATCCAATTTGTTCCTTTGTCATTTTATATACTGGAAAATATCCTCAGGGTCTTTGTGCAGATTTAACGAGTGGCATAGACAGTATGACATTAACAGTGGTCTCCCAAGAGGTGATATTACTCCACGCGAAAGGAATGTTAAAAAATAACATCACGACAGAATCCATCAGAAATCAATCGGCTCTATGTAAACAATCTTGACTTCAGCGGATTGAGTAAACAGGTTTTCCAGTGTCAGCACCACGGGGCTGTCTGTTGTAAAACAATCACAAACTATATTATCTCTGACAATAACAATCATAATATTCTGCAACCGTGTGTGGTATCATGGTATAAACACGTTTTTATGAATATTCAAATGTTTCCTCCCGTTTATATTTACCAACGTTATACAAAACACGATCAAGCTTGAAGATGTGTCGGTGCTAATTTATGACATGTTTATACTACCTGGTAAACCGGCAGGTGTTTAAAAATACACTGATGAGCTGAATTACCCGAACCTTTGTAGTCTTGAACAGAAAACAAAACCAGAAAAGAAAACTTATGAGGGAACCTGACACAAGTATTCAGCATCCCCAAAGACATTGATAAAGCTGTGACAGTTAATTTCTTCATAATTAGCAGGATTCCCTCATTTCACACAGAGGGGACCATTTGTAAAGGGTTATGGATGTATCCAACAAGCTCCCCAGCCACGCTTGAGTCAATAGTTCTGTGATGTAGCGTGGACATCAATTTGCTGCATGCTCATTTGCTGGATTTTTAATTCCTTTCAATATGTGGAATTACATTGGATATACAATTGATTATTACAAATTACATTTAATCAGATTTCCTCATAAAATTATAATTTCTAACATACCAAAAAACTTAGCTACAGAGCCTCATTTTTGTGTGAATATATCATGAATGTCACAAAGGTAAAAATAATCAAAACAAAATAAATAGGTAAAATACACACATCCGTCCAAATACAAAATTACAATACAGTTACAATTACAAGTGTTAATAGGCCGTCAGGTAAATACTTTTCAAATTATTCACCCAGGCCTTAATTGTAAAAGGCAGCTTGCATTTTTGCAGGGCCTGTAAATGCTGGATTACAGGCAGGGAACTGTGTCACTGGTCCAGTGCTTGAGAAGGCAACTGGCTGCCGAGCGGGTGGAGGACCGATGAGGAGCAAGCTGTGCAGTCAGATGGTTAAACTAGTTGCAGTATATTGGTTCTTTCAAGGAACAGCCTCAGAGACATTAGCTACTCCTGCTTGTAACCTGTGAACAGAACACACCTGAACAGGCTATTAAAGGCAAATAAGCTTTCTGCTGGCCATCTTTTACATTTTGTAACTAGGAGACGCCAGGTGGCAGAGATCATTTTCCTCTTTGTGTAGACAGTGAGGGTGGACTGATGATTGTTTGTTGTTTGTATGGTAAAAGGCCAGCCCAGGAAAAAAAACATGAATCTATCAATAGGGCAAATAAATTATGCCATTATTCTGCTAATTGTGTGCTGAATTAGAAGTTCCAATTCCCTTCTAAATTAATTTTCACTTTTATTTAGAGAGTGCAAAATAATTCTTCATAATGCATAGTCAATCCACATTGGCACACAGCATTTTAAACTTCCCATTTTCTGAGTGCAGTGTGCCATCTACCCACTGGAAAATTAGTAGGGAACTATGCACATTTCATGTGTTCTTTAAACATACTTTCAAGTGCACATCAGTTTCTACAACTGGGGGCATGGTCACCTAAATACCTTTCCTACTTGCTCCCTCACCATTTTAATAAAATACTGGTTTATGTACAGTATTTCCCAACACAGTGCTTTCAATATGTGTTTGATTATGCTGAATATGTTACATAACAGCCCTGGAAACAGAAGCTCCATGATCTTTCATCCTACATTGCAAAGTACCAGCACAGTACTAGCAGTAATAATGAGATTAATAATAACTATTAATAAAAGCTCCCAGCCTGTTCAGATTCATGATGAACCCGCCTGGGTAGAAAATCTGTTCCTGCAACAACTGTCCATCCATATTCAACCACTTCATCCAATTCAGGGATGAGGGGGAGCCGGAGCCTTTCCCAGCAAGCAATGGGATGCAAGGCAGGGTACACCCTGGAGGGGAAGCCAGTTCGACAGAGAGGACGGGGATAGAGATTATGCAGGAGGCAGATCTGCAGTTTCACAAAGGATCGGAAGGTTTACTGCCCCTCTAGTTACAGAACAAGATGCTATTAACCAAAGGCGAGATACGGAGAGAGAGACCGAGGGTGGAGAGAAAAGGGCAGTGCAGTTTTTCCCACCGCTTACTGTGGACGAGCCCCTTTCTATACTGTAGGGTGCTGGCCATTATAAACACACTGAGCATCACATGCAAAACTAAAATCAACATAACGTTTATCAATCTGGTATATAAACATGTCGATGTATTTTATTATATTGTAAAGCGTACGGCCAACAGTGTGTAAGAGCCGGCTTACCAGAGTGGTGACGTCACCGCCCTTCCCTGTGATAGCAGGACTCACAGCCGCTGGGCTTGGGGGAGATCTCTCTTTAGCTCAACAGGCTGGGTCCCTGATGAGTGACGCTGGAGGTCTGGGTTCACGTCCCCGACGGTTGGGGGCCCCCCAGATGTGGCGGCGGCAAGGGCGCCCGCCTGAACCCCGAAGCCTTACAATATATTGACACATTGAGCCTCAAAAGCTAGCAGCCATATCACCCTGCAGCTCACATTTTTCAAGAAGACTACACATCCTTTTAACAATGTATTTTATTTTATATAGCACTTTTAAAGGTGATGGGATGAGGGATGAGGGGGAGCCGGAGCTTTTCCCAGCAAG